ATGTTTCTAACTCTCTATCTCTCTCCCTTCCTCTCTGTACAAAATCAATAAAATATATTAAAAAAAAAAAAAAAAAAAAAAAAACATCGGTGAGAGAGGAACATCCATCAGCTGCCTCCTGCACACCCCGCATTGGGGATGTGCCCGCACCTACTGGCCAGAATCGAACCTGGGACTTTTCAGTCCACAGGCCAAACCAGTTAGGGCTGTTTGTTAATCCTCACCTAAGGATCTTTTTTCCATTGCTTTCAGAGATAGTGGATGGGAGGAAAGAAAGGAGGGAGGGAGGAAGGGAGAGAGAGAGAGAGAGAGAGAGAGAGAGAGAGAGAGAGAGAGAGAGAGAGGCATAGATTGACTGGTTGCCTTCCACATGTGCCCCATAAAGGGTGCAAGGAGTGAGCCAACAACCCAGGTATATACCCTTGATCGGGAATTGAGCTGTGATCTGCTGGTTCTTAGGTCAACGTTCAACCACTGAGCCACTCCAGTCGGGCAATAAAAAAATATAAATATTTTAAAAAAGAACTAGTAGTTTACATTTGCATATGGTTTAACTCTTGCAAGAATCAAGACATCCCCTCCTGTTTTGTCTTCTGTTCTTCAGTTGGCAAGGCGGCCTGTGTCTTCCCCTTCATCTACAAAGGGTCTCTCCACTTCTCTTGCACCAGGAAAGACAGCATCTTCCCCTGGTGTGCCACCAGAGCCGTGTACGACAGGCACTGGAAGCTGTGCTTGTTGGAAGGTGAGTGGAGCCATGCGGTGCCATCCGCGGGTTTCTGTAAATCATGGACCACAGAAGAAACAGTGTGAGTGTACGTATATTTTTTGCAGACAGGTTATAATATACATGTGAGCGTGGAAAATGCCCTGGAAACTAAACATAATGGTAATGATGGGTCACAAGGTTCACCAAGAGATTGTTCTCTGAAAGGAGGGACTGTAACCTGTCGACCATTGTATTTTTTAAAAAATATATTTTATTGATTATTGATTTTTTTTTTTACAGAAAGGAAGAGAGAGGGATAGAGAGTTAGAAATATCGATGGCAGAGAAACATCGATCAGCTGCTTCTTCCACACCCCCTACTGGGGATGTGCCCACAACCAAGGTACATGCCCTTGACCAGAATTGAACCTGGGACCCTTTGGACCACAGGCTGATGTTCTATCCACTGAGCCAAATCGGTTTCAGTGACCATTGTATTCTTTATCTCTTTCTTAATTTTTTTAAATTAATAAGGGGGAAGGGGGAGAGGGGATTCTGTTTACATTCTTTTGTTAAGCCTCACCCAAGGATATTTTTTTCTGTTGGTTTCTAGAGCGTGCAGGGAAGGGATGGAGGTGGGAGGAGAGAGAAACATGGATGTGTCTTTCTCACATCGATTGGTTGCATCCTGCATGCGTCCCATACAGATTACCCACGATGCATCTTCCCCTTCATCTATCGGAGAAAGTCCTACAACAGCTGCACCACGGACGGCAGCATCTTTGGGAAGCTGTGGTGCTCGGTCACCTCCAGCTTCGATGAGATGAAGCAGTGGAAATATTGCCAGATGAACGGTGAGGCACCGGACCAAGGGTGGGGTGCGTGGTGGAGGGGAGAGTGGAGGTCAGTGGTCTTTGTGACGGGATGGTGGCAGGTGGCAGGGTCCTCTCAGAGAGTCACGGTGAGAGGCACCAGGGCTCACCGGACGGGCGCAGGTGAGAGGGAGAGTGGTTTATTGAAGAGCTGGCAACCTGAGAAGATGGAGGACGCTCGTCCCAAAGACCACCTCAACCTCCCAGTGCAGACAGAGGTTTGGTCAAGGAGAGAGAGGGAAAGCAGAACAGAGAGACCGAGGGTTGAGAGTTCTCTGTTGAGGGGACTAAGTTCAGACCAGCACAGCAGATCCTCCTTTGGTCCTTGAAACTGGTCAAGTGAGGGTCTGGTGTGCATCCTTCTGGCTTTGGTCATCCTCGTTTTATGTCATCCTACAGTTGAAGGTCAACACATTTCCCAGTGAAGGTCTGCATCCGTATCTTTAAGTTTTTAAAATATATATATATATATAAATAATTGATTTTTCACAGAGAGGAAGGGAGAAGGATAGAGAGTTATAAACAACATTGAGAGAGAATCATAGATCAGCTGTCCCCCACACACCCCCCACAGGGGACGAACCCGCAACCAAGGTACATGCCCTTGACCAGAAAGGAACCTGGGACCCTTCAGTCTGCAGGCTGACGTTCTATCTACTGATCCAAACTGATTTTGGCTGAGTTTGAATCTTTTAAAGTTAGTTTCCTAGAACTCTTCTACAATGCATGCTGATTATCTACAACTACTGATTCGTCAGAGCCAGCATTTACAGAACAATGTCAAGAAAATGGAGGTGGTAGTGGGTTACAACCATTAGAATTTGCTTCATTCACCAAACCGATGCCCAAAAATAGGTCCTGGAAGGAAAGGTAGTCTTTAGCTCTGGCTTCCTCTACTACATCGGGAAAGTTATTAAATCTCTGGGTCCGTTTGCAACCTGAATAATGAGGACATGAAGGCTGACCTCAAGGTGTTTTTGTTTGTTTGTTTTTAAAGGTTAGAGATCATTTTCATAAAAGATCTGTCGCTGTGTTTCAAACATACCACATGCCTAAGAAATGGAGTTTTCCACCTTGCCTGTCATCAGAGCCAGTGGTCAGGAAATGGGCTTTGAAGTCAGACCGGAGTGAGACCCCTGCTATGACCACTTACCAGCTGTGTGATCTTGGGCACATCAGATAATACAAATATAATGGTCATAAGACAGTGGACTTTTAGTGAGCATTTGCTGTGTGCCTGGCATTGTTCTAGGAACGTCCCATGCAAGAACTCATTTATATGCCCGAACAACACCTATGAGGTTGAAAAAAATATGACCAGTAGCCCCATTTTTCAAATGGTAAAACTGAGGCTCAAAGATGTTCAGTTGTTAAATGAAAGAACTGTGATTTGACCCAGGAAGTCTGAGCTTCAGAAATTGTTCTCTTAATCACTTGATTCCTCTCCCTGTCCCTCTTTCTGTCCCTGTTCCTCTCCCTCTCTTCCTTCTCACTCTCCCTCTCCCCCTCTCCCCCTCCCCCTTTCCTTCTCCCTCTCCCTCTTCCTCTCCCTCTCCCTCTTCCTCTCCCTCTCCCTCTCCCCCTCCCCCTTTCCTTCTCCCTCTCTTTCTCCCTCTCCCTCTCTTTCTCCCTCTCCCTCTCCCTCTCCCTTTCTTCCTTCTCCCTCTCCTTCACCCTCTCCCTCTCCCCCTCTCACTCTCACTCTCACTCTCACTCTCACTCTCACTCTCACTCTTCCTTCTCCTTCTCCCTCTCCCTCTCCCTCTCTTCCTTCTCCTTCTCCTTTCCCCTCTCCCTCTCCTTCTCCCTGCCCCTCTCCCTCTCCCTCTCCTTCTCTCTCTCCCTCTCCTTCATCCTGTCCATCTCCCTCTCCCTCTCCCTCTCCCTCTCCTTCTCCCCCTCTCGCTTTCCCTCTGCCTCTAAACCCAGGCCAGGCCCCTTGGTGGATTCTGGCTTCCCACAGAACCCACCAAAGCAGCCTTTCATTAGGCAATGCTGAGTGTATTGCATACAATGCGAGGGCGAGCACCACCTTGGCAGGGTCTTAATAGCACCTCGGAGGGAGGAGAGCAGAGCCAGGATGTTAATTAGGTTTTGGGGGGTCTTTCAACGTGGAGATGTGACGAGGATTGGGGATGCGTAATAATATAGCTTAGAACTGGCGGTCATGGCAAAGTGATCTTTCCAAGAAGGATTCAAAGTATCTTAAAGAATAAATAGTCTTTCAAATTTTTTAAATTTTATTTTTCAATTACAGTTGATGAATCAATAGTCTTCTTGATATAATTTATTGAAAAGTTGAAAGGTCTGCCAAAACCGGTATGGCTCAGTGGATAGAGCATCGGCCTGCGGACTGAAGGGTCCCAGGTTCGATTCCAGTCAAGGGCATGTACCTTGGGTTGTGGGCACATCCCCAGTAGGGGTGTGCAGGAGGCAGCTGATCAATGTTTCTCTCTCATTGATGTTTCTAACTCTCTATCCCTCTCCTTTCCTCTCTGTAGAAAATCAATGGGATATATTTTAGGAAAATTAAAGACAGTTATTCAATAGGCACAATAGCTTTTATTAAAAAGAAAGAAAGAAAGAAAGAAAGAAAGAAAGAAAGAAAGAAAGAAAGAAAGAAAGAAAGAAAGAAAGAAAAGAAAAATAAAAAGAAAAATTGAAAGGTCTGATGTTTATTTAAATGTTTTTTTCGGGAAATTCTTGAAGGTTACAATATTTGCAACTTTGATCTTCCCGGACAAGAATGTCTTAGACCAGCAGAGTCCTATTGATAAGCCCATGGAACAAGAAAGCCTTATGAACGTAGACAGTCAACCGTGTGGAAATAATACTTTACTTCTCTGTAAAGCGGAAATAATAACATCACCGGAAGTTGCTTGGGCGTGCTCAATATTAAATTGCCTTTCGTGAGACAAAGCGAGGCCCATCGCTGGTGTGCGATGAATGGGTTTCATCTTCTTGACCCGTAACCTCTGTCCGGTCGTTTTCCAGAGTTCGGGGGAAACGGCCTCAGCAAGTCCTGCATCTTCCCCTCCGTCTACAGAAATAACGTGATCTCCGAGTGCGTCGAGAACGACGACAACAAGCTCTGGTGTCCAACCACAGAGAACATGGACAAGGACGGGATGTGGAGCTTCTGTGCCGACACCAGTAATCCGGGGGGGGGGGGGGGGGGGGGACCGGGTGGGCTGGGCCAAACCCTTCCTTTATTTACTCAGCAGATGCTCCTCCAGCCCCATGTGAGCCAGCCACTGTGCGGGGCTCTGGGGAGAGAAAGAGGCAGAGTCCTGTTCTCACTGGTTTGATGAACAAGTAGCATAAATATGACTTTTAAGGGGTTTGGTTTTATTTGTCTTGTTTTGTCCTGTTTTGTTAATCCTCATCCAAGGATATTTTTCCATTTATTTTTTTTTTTTTTTTTTTTTAGAGCGAGTGGAAGGGAGGGAGAGAGTGGGGAGAGAGAAACATTGATGTGAGAGACACATCAATAGGTTGCCTCCCACGTGTGCTCCAACCAGGGCCAAATATTGCACTGCAACCCAGGCACATGCCCTTGACCTGGAATTGAACCTGAGACCCTTCAGTGCATGGGGCAAAACTCTAACCATTGAGAAACACTGTCCAGGGCAATATTTAAGGGTTTTTTGTTGTTGTTGTTGTTGTTTAATCCTATATAATAAAACCTAATATGCTAAGTGTCCAGTTGACCAATCAAAGCACAATATGCTAATGTTATGCTAAGATCACTCAACCGCTCTCTGTGACATGCACTGTCCACCAGGGGGAAGACGCTCCAACCAGTAGGTTAGCTTGTTTCTGGGGTCCATCAGATCAGGACTGAGCAAGACAAGCCAGGCAGGCCCAGGAGCCCTCCCACGCTGGCCAACCTCCCATGCCCCTCCCCAGCCCCGACCATGCACCAGTGGTGTCCCTCAGCCTGGCCTGCACCCTCTCACAATCCGAGACCCCTCAAGGGATGTCAGAGAGCCAATTTCAACCCGATCCCACAATTCAGGCTGAGGGATCCCACTGGTGCATGAATTTGTACACCAAGCCCCTAGTCTATTAGTAAGAAAACTATAAGGGTAAGAATACCAGTTCAAAGGACAGATTTCTTCACTGTAATAATATAATCAGTGAATTATATTATTAATATAATATAATTCAGAAACAAGATTGCTAAATCCTATATAATAAAAGCCTAATATGCAAAAAGGCAGAATGACTGGTGGAACGACCAGTTGCTATGAGGTGCACTGACCACCAGGGGGAAGATGCTCAATGCAGGAGCTGCCCCCAGCCCACAGACCCCAGGCTAGCCAAGGTGGGTGCCAGCAGGACCCCCATAACCCCAATCTCCCTGCAGGTCGCCCCACCGGTTGCCCCACAGATCGGCTGTAATCACCAGCCAGGCCTAGGGATGCTACCCATGCACGAATTTCGTGCCTGGGACCTCTAATTGGATATAAAATGCATTCACATCTAAAGTGGCTATCAAACCTTTGGGGTTATTGACATCTCTATTGAGCCAAAATTATTCAAAACACATCAATCTTCTACCAGTTACAGCGTCGGGGCCTCCAATCCATAGCAGATAGGAAATCAAACAAATTTATATTTCCTTTCAGCAGCCATCTGCAAACTCCCACCTATGGGCCGAATCTAGACAAACTCTTCTTTCTTTCTTTTTTAAACTGAATTTTTGGGGGGGTTTCTAGAGAGAGAGAAGGAGAGAAGGGAGAGGGAAGAGAGGGAAACATCAATTTATTGTTTCACTTGTTTGTGCATTCATTGGTTGATTCTTGTGAGTGCCCTGACCGGGATTGAACCCACAACCTTGGTGTTTCAAGTGATGCTCTAACCAGCTGACTAACCTGGCCAGGGCTGGACAAATGCTTTTCATACAGCCCCTGATCCAGTGATAGTTCTTACATGTTTGTGTATGCTTAAAAAAATAAAATAAAAGAATCCCATTTTGTGACAGGTGAAAATGACATGCAATTCAAAATTCAGGGTCCACCTCAGTCATTAAAGGGTTAGCCCATGCACCAGGGGGTCATGGGTTCAATTCCCAGCCAAGGGCACATACCTGGGTTGCAAGTTCAATACACAGTTCAGTTGGGGTGCCTGCAGGAGGCAACCAATTGATATGTCTCACCTCTTTCTCTCCCTCTCTCTCTCTCTCTCTCTATCTCCTTTTCCCTCCCTTCTACTCTCTCTAAAACCTAACGGGGAAAGTGTTCTCGGGTGAGGACTAACAAAAACAGAACAAAACCCAGGGTCCGTATGCAAAGTCTCACTAGCTCGCAGACATGCCCATCGCTTATGGATTGTCTGTGGCTGTCTTCCCGCCACAATGGTGGCATGGAGATGGTGGCAAACACTGCGTGATGCTCAAAGCTGCACCATCTGGCCCTTTTCAGGAAGTTTGCCGACCCTGAGCTAGAGAATCGGGTGACCCTTAGGAGCTTGGCCTTGACAGCAGACAAGGTCATATGGCAATTCCTTAGCCCTTTTTCTCGTTTCAGATCCTTTTTGTTAATGGCCAATCATTGGTGCCTAAAAGCAGCTCCTTCCTTGACACATTTTCTTTTTTAATATATTTTATTGATTTTTTTTTTACAGAGAGAAAGAGAGAGAGATAGAGAGCTAGAAACATTGATGAGAGAGAAACATCGACCAGCTGCCTCCTGCACACCCCCCACTGGGGATGTGCCCGCAACCAACGTACATGCCCCTGACCGGAATCAAACCTGGGACCTTTCAGTCCGCAGGCCGGCGCTCTATCCACTGAGCCAAACCTGTTTCGGCCCTTAACACATTTTCTCCAAGAGAAACATGGCTGCCGCCTTGAGCTTAGAGGAGGAGCTGGCACTCCAGTGCTCTGTGTGGGGCCATTTAAACGCGGGAAATCACCGATGAAACGGCACAGAAAGGCGAAGGGGGGAGGATTGCCTGTGCCCCAGGAGGGCCCTCTCTGCAGCAGGAGGGGGGGGGGGTGGCCTGCTGGCCTTGGGCGAGGGCCTCAGACCTCAGCGACTCCTTTTCCGCCACTTGGTGTGTCCACCCAGGACTATAGACCTGCCACCAGCATTGATTGGGGGGCCCTACATAAATGTCAGGGAGCAGGCGGATCCTCAAATCGGGGGTCTGTGACTAGACAGGACCCACTGTAACCTGCCCCCTGCGAGCCTCACTCCACTCCCCGACTCTTCCAGGGACAAAGCTCTGTCCCTCTCCCGCCACCTCTGACCCCTCCTGCTTCCCCTCGCCCGCCCCAATCCCCACTCCGCACACTCCCCCAAGTCCCAAACGCAGTTCCTTTCCAAAGGCAGAAAAGTCCTCTGGCATTTAGGTCTAGCCCCATGGTCGGCAAGCTGCGGCTCTCGAGCCACCTGCGGCTCTTTGGCCCCTTGAGCGTGGCTCTTCCATAAAACACCACGGCCTGGGCGAGTCTATTGTGAAGAAGTGGTGTTAGAAGAAGGTTAAGTTTAAAAAATGTGGCTCTCCAAAGACATTTCAATCGTTGTCCTGTTGACATTTGGCTCCGTGGAGGAATGAGTTTGCCGACCACTGGGCTAGGCCAGCGTTTCGCCCCTCCGCCGGGAGCCGGGGCCGGGCCCACACCACACGCCTGTGCTTTCACAAAGGCCCGGGGATAACCACCGCCTGGTCTCCTTCTTCTCCAAGGGGTCACCTCCCTGGTGCCCGGCTCCCCCTGCCACTTCCCCTTCAAATACAAGAACAAGAATTACTTCAACTGCACCCGCAAAGGCTCCAAGGAGAACCTCCTGTGGTGTGCAGCCTCCTACAACTACGACCAGGATCGCACCTGGGTGTACTGCTGACGCCGGGTAAGACGAGGTGTATGTGTGTGTGTGTGTGTGTGTGTGTGGAGGGGAGGGGGCACCTGGGTGCCTCCCGCAGGGAAGGTGGGTGCAGGGGCCACGCCTGGGGCTTGGCTGATGTGAACGTGGGTCAGGGAGCATGGGGGAGGGGGGCTTAGGTGGATGGGTGCACCATTGATGGGAAGGTGGGATCCTTTCCTCCCAGCGTGTGCCATCTGCCCAGGTTCCCAGCCAGGCGAGCTGCCTCCCCCAGAGACCAGATGGAGAGTATGTGCGTGGGGGGGGGGGGGAGGAGAGGGAATAAAGGGGTTGCAGGGGGAAGGCATGGTGGCAACTTCCCACATGAGAAGGCTGGGAGACATCGGGGTGCCCGTGCCAGGCAGGAGAGCAGCGGGAGGAGGTGGGTGAAGCTGTGCAGACCCAGAATTCCATGTGCGGGTCCAGGAGCTCTGAGTGTGAGCGAGTAGGATCATGCAATTTCTCCAGCCAGAGCTGCTGGGAAAAGATGGCCTTCCGGTCCCGGGCAGCCCTACTGTGTGGACAGCCCGCTACCCCCAACGCTGCAGGGCTAACCAAGGGACAGGCAGGGTCCGCATTTCTTCCTGGTCCTCTGGGCCCCTCCCCACCTCGGCGCTTAAGCCAACTCCCTCTGCAAGACCAGCTCTCTCCTCCCTTTTTTTTTCCTCCTGAGTCCCTCCTGGCTTCATTCTCTCCGTGCCGTTCAGGACTCTCAGGCGCATGTTTCGAGTGCGTCCCTGAGAGTTTTGCAGCAGCTGGGCCCCGAACCAGCTCCTGGGGTTGGGGGTGGTTGTTGCACTGCTGCCCGTTCTTATAAATCAGCACCGCGCATGCGTTCACTGATCGTCTGTAGAAGAGACTTTACAATCCACAAGCATCTGTGGCTGCCAGTCTGTGACCATTTTACATAGTTTATTAGGATACTTTTCCGCAAGAGCTGTTGCTGGGACAAAGGTTAGGGAAAATATTTATTTTTTTATTTTAAAAAAATCTTTAATATATGTTTTATTAATTTAGAGAAGAAAGGAGAAGGAGCGAGAGATAGAAACATCCGTAAGGAGAGAATCAGGACTCCTGCATGTCCTCTGGGGATCGAGCCTGCAACCTGGGCATGTGCCCTGACCAGGAATCAAACCATGACCACCTAGTTCATAGGTTGATGCTCAACCACTGAGCCACACCGTCAGGGCAAAAGTGAGAAGATTTTAAGGCTCTCAGTACAAAGGGCTTTCTGTTGACATTGTAGACCAGTGGTGTGAAGTTGTCCATCTTGCTGTATTGCCCGCATCAAAGAGTATTTTTTAGCCTTGACTGTTTGGGTGAAAGAAAATTCTTGGCAGTGTTCCGAGTGGACATGACCCCAGTTATGGGGCAGGAGGGATGTCAGGGCCCAAGGGAGAGACTTCTGTTCAGGGAGACAGAGCAGAAGGAGCAGGGACCGTCGCCCCGAGATTTGTCCTCCATCCCCGGTCTGCGAGGGGCTGGCGGATGCTCAGCGCCCTGTGGTTTCTGTGGGTGCTGGTTAGTCCGGGGCGGGCTGGGGGCGCTCCGTGCGGATTCGGGCCCCGGCAGAGCGGGGAGGCAGTGCTGGCCGCTGACCTGTCTGTCCTTCCCGCAGCTTGGAACCGGCTTCAGCGACGAGGAGCTGGAGGAGTATCACCAGACCCTGCAGGTGAGCAGCCCGGGCTCCGGTGCCACACGCAGGGGGCAGCGCAGCTGGCTTCAGGGGTGCAAGTCCCAGCTGGGCCGGCCACTCGCCAGTGCCACCCGCCAGTCAGGGGCCCCATCTCCCTGCGCTCAGAGCCTCGGCCGCAGCAGGGGGCAGTCTCGGGGCAGGGCACTCTTGTGGGGTTCCCTGAGTCAATCCTTAGGGTGCTGGCTGAGTGTTTGAGGCCATGGTCACAGGTGTTCTGGGCGTGACTGCCTTTTGTGTTGGTATCTGTGATTCAGTTCCTGTCCATTCTTTGGCGCGCTCTCTCTCTCTCTCTCTCTCTCTCTCTCTCTCTCTCTCTCTCTCTCTCGGTCTCTATCCCCACCTCTCGGGGTCTCTGTCCCTCTCTCTGCCTCTGTCAGTCTTAATTTCTGTCTCAGCTCCCAGGGTCTCTGTCTTTCATTTAGTCCTTCTCCCATTTCTCCCCACCCCCCATTCCTGGCTTTGTGCTTTAAGGAATGTTTGTGTCTCTATCTTCCCCCATTTACCTCACTTCCCGACCCCACAACCCTCGATCTTGATTCTGAGACCCGAGATCCTCTCTTCCACCTCCTCTGCTCCCTGCAGGCCCTGGTGGTGCCCGCCCCTCGCTCCTACGTCCGGGCGGACGGCGCCGTGGCCCCGGACCACTGGCTGGAGCCCCGCACCGTGTGGGAGGTCAGGTGCGCGGACCTCTCCCTCTCGCCCATCTACCCCGCGGCCCGCGGCCTGGTGAGTGGATGCGCCTGGGGTAGAGCCTCCGGAGGAATTCCTGACGGGAGAGTGGGGAGGCCCTTCCTGGGGGCATTGGGAAACCCCGAGCTGGCATCTTACTTGGGTGTCAGATAACTGGGTCAAAGTCTTTTATTTTAATAAATATATATATATATATATATATATATATATATATGTGCTGCCGAAGCGAGCACTAATAAATATATATATATATATATATATATATATATATATATATATATATATATATAATTGATTTTTTTTACAGAGAGGAAGGGAGAGGATAGAGAGCTAGAAACATCGATGAGAGAGAAACATCCATCAGCTGCCTCCTGCACACCTCCTACTGGGGATGTGCCCGCAGCCAAGGTACATGCCCTTGGCTGGAATCGAACCCAGGACCCTTGAGTCCGCAGGCTGATGCTCTATCCACTGAGCCAAACCAACAGGGCTATTTTATTTTATTTTATTTTTTTTTTTAAGAGAAATGCCCCAGGAGTGGAACGAAAACAGTGAAATTGCTGTTTCACACTCAGCTCTTCAGTAATTTTTGAAAACAGGGTTCTTCTAAGGAAAAGCTTATGACACGGCCTGTTCCATTTCTGTCTTAACTGTAATTAATTCCCGCACCACCTGCTTGTCCAGGTCCTTCTCTCACTGGTGGTTCGGTCCGCACCCAACGCGGGCTCTGAGCTCGCTTTCTCCGCGGGAGAAACGGGGTCTCCCGTTCATGTGTGAGGTTTCTTCCGACCTTTCCATCCAGCAGCCGCTTTTCTGGTTAGAAGCGGCTTCCATGCAAAGGCGGAGCCTGTATTTGGGATCACATTTCTTAGAATCTTCTCACTCGGGAAGCCAGGGTCCCGGGACCAGGTGTGGGAGCAGCCTGGGCAGCAGGTGCTGTGCCAGCAGCAGGCACCTGTGTGCACGTGTTTCATCCTCAGGGGCAAAGCAGAGCCCGGAGCTGAGGGACTGGCCCCTCACGGGCCTCACAGCTCCCGGGAGTGGGGGGGCTGGGATCTGACCCCACAGTCTGGTTCCAGAATCCACACCTGACTCCGCTGCTCTGCTTCTGGGCCTGATAATGCCAACCACCTAAACAGCAGCGGTCACAGCTGGCATTTCTTAAGCGCCGCCGCGGGCCAGGACGGTCCCAAGGGCTTATTGTCTTACTGAGCCCTTACAACAGCCACTGCTCAGCCCGCGGGGCGGGTCAGGACACGGCCAGAGGTGCAGGAGCGGGAGGAGACTTCGGTGGGGAATTGTCAGCCAGGACCGCGGCTGGGCCACAGGAAGTCCCCTCCCCCCTCCCCAGGTGGACAGTGAGAAGGGGATCTCCCTCCGTTTCCCGCGGTTTGTTCGCGTCCCTGAAGACAAGACGCCGGAGGAGGCCACCACCAGTTCCCAGGTGAGGCCCGGAGGGGGCGCTGCCTGGCCCGAGAGCGGATGGGAGAGGTGGGCGCTGCCCTGCAGTGGGGGGCGGGGCGGGGCAGCCCCGGCTCTGACCGCCGCCTGCCTGTCTCCTAGGTGGCCTGGCTATACCGGAGGCAGAGTCTCCAGGAGGACACAGACCAAGACTCCGACCCGGACCTGGAGGCTTTCTGCTAGGCCCTGCCCTCCGCACGGGCGGCCGCACCGCCGGTGTCAGACGCAGACGGGGTGTCAGTGTGTGTGGGTGTGGTTTAACGGGAGTTTAGTCATTTTTTAAAAATAAATAATTATTCACCCCGCTCCGTGTCCAGCTCTTGCCGGGCTCTGGGGGTGCTCTGATAGCTCACGTGTGGAGCACGCGGGCCAGGGGCTGCTGAAGCAGCGCCTTCCAGCAGAACTTTGCAGCGACAGGGACATCTTCCCCCGCATTGTGCACTGTGACAGCCGCCGGCCAGTGGCCAGCACTTGAAATGTGGCCGGTGCAATGAGGACATTTTCTTATATTTATTTTTACTTGTATATTAAAATACTGGAGGCCTGGTACATGAAAATTGTGCACTGGGTGGGGAGGGCAGGGGGCAGTCCCTCAGGCCAGCCTGCACCCTCTGGCAGTCTGAGCACCCTTGGGGGGATAGCCTCCTGCCACTGTGCTCGCTGGCTGTGAGCCCGGCTTCTGGCTAAGCAGCGCTCCCCTGTGACCACCTGGGCAGCTCCTGCGTTGAGCATCTGCCCCTGGTGGTCAGTGGGCGTCACAGCAACCAGTCCTGTCATTTGGCCAATTTGCATATTAGCCTTTTATTCTATAGGATGTTTTTATTGATATTTAGAGAGAGGAAGAGAGAGGGATAGAGAGGATCATGAATGAGAGAGAAACATCGATAGGCTGCCTTCTTCAAGCCCCCTGCTGGATATCAAGCCTGACATGGAGGCATGTGCCCTGACCAGGAATCGAACTGCTGATCTCTTGGTTCCTGGGTCAGTGCTCAGCCACTGAGCCACACTGGCTGGGCTCTATTTCTTTTTCATTAAATTTCACTTAAGCAGCTCCATGTGGTTAGTGGCTATTGCATTGGACAGTGGTAGTTTCAACCTTAGAAACTCATTTAACCTCCCAGCCACCTACCCTGGG